AGACAAACAATCAGGCAGAAAACAATACCCTAATCAAGGAACTACCAAGGAGAAAATCACACCCCCACCAAACTTGGCAGGGCAAGCTACTGTATGTAAACAGGGAGCAAACCCCACACTCACTAGCACTGAAGATGTTACCTAGTCAGGTAATGAAATGTCTGCAATCAAACAACCAAGCTCAGAGAGCACCAAGACTACACAGTTCAAATCTGAGCTACGTATATTTTCTTCTCTTGGTATTTGCTCTTCTGTCTTGTCAAACAGATGAAAGAAACTAGCATGGGGTGATGGTTAAAGCATGATGACATGGAAATGGTCCTTGTTCATGAAAAGCTTTAACAATACTAAGTATCTGTGTAATTCTCCCAAGTACCAAAAATAGTCTGTTAAAATTGTTACAATAAAGTGAGTTACTACCAAGGCTCTGCATGCTTCGGAAGTGTTTTAGAACAAGTGCTTTAGACCTTGCACATGCACGGCACCTCTCTGCTCTTCATTAAAGCAGACAGACATTTTCCAGGCTTTCTTGCAATTGTGAAAAAATTTGCTCCTCCTATATGCTTTCCATTCATTAACATGATTCTTAAAGCAGCAGCCGTCTCATAAGGGAGCCTGAAAAAAGGCAGGCTGCTTTAGTGAAGAGCAGAGAGATGCTGCACTTATGCACATGTACGATCCAAAGCACTTCTCATTTTCAAAGCTAGCAAGCCCTAATTAGTTCTATGCTCCCCAGATTGCAAATAGGTGCAAGTGTCTGAGAATGATAGAAGGGCTTGCCTAAAGCCACTTAGTGGACATAGTCACATAACACACGTAACTCTGAAAATAAGTTAATTCAATAACCAGGTTTGCACAATACACAGGACCATAAATTAACTGAACAGGCTGGGTATGCCCAACACACCAAGCCACATAAAATAAAATCTAAACCAACCCAGCATGAATCTTAAGCAAGCTTAGCATGTTCTACAAATGCGTCTGCTAGGTTTTTAACTGATCTGGTTGAAATGTATTGTATGAACATGGCCGCTGAGTTCTAGTAGAGGTGAGATCTGAATGGGAAGTCCTGCTACACTAGTCCACCAACTCTGCTGGCACTCCCAGGTGTCTGTTGGCATCTTCACAAAAAGATCTTGGCGCCAACCCATTCGTCAAAGGAGTGTTTGTTAGGCTTTTTGATTAGAGATCGCTACGAGGGAAGATATTTGCAGAAGTGGGAGGAGTCATCAGAAGGTTCACCACAAGCTTTTCTATCTATTTTATAAAACATCCGAGAACAAAGAAATAAGCTGTAAAGTTCTGTGCCTTTCTGTAGGAAGTAATGTCATCTTTGGGCACTGGGTGCTTTTTCTGCCTTTCTCTCTGTTCTCCCTCTGTTCACCCCCACCATCCTCCACTTCCCACTAGTGCTTTGTAAGTTACTGTTGTGGTGGATTTCCCTGTCTTGTGTGAAACCTTTTCAAATAGATCTCTCAGAATGCTTTGCAGGAGAGCCAGAATCATCCAAGCCAGTTTATTTTAACCTATCCAGATTGATTTGATCTGATCTAGGCTCGGGCCACTTTCCATTCCAGCTGAGAAGAATTACATTCAGGAGCTTATAACTGCTGCAGGTTCTGCTTCTCTTCTAAAGATGAGTGCATGATGTGTCACAAGGCCAGAGCTTTGGTTAGGGGCCAGTGAAACCTGTAATGAAGTCTACTATTATTTTTTTTAAAGGAAATGTGCTTTTATGAAAAGAATGTAGTTGTGGAAGATAAAAAATTCATTGGAGCAGTTTTAATAGATATAAATCAAGGCGGAGAAGTTTCATTGCCTGATTGTGGGTGTTTCCAACTGAACAGGAGTGGTAGCATGCAACCACTTCAGGAAGCTGTTGTGGATTTGGGTCATGTGGGGGATGGAACTAGGCAGCGGCTGCAGAGGGCTAGAGCTTTATGTTACAGCCATTGCTATTTCCTATAGGAACTGTGGGGCAGCTGCCAAGTTCTCGCAAATGCAGGATTCGCTTAGGGAGGAAAGGATGTGTATACATTCACTGTGGCTAGAATTCCATGCAGTGCCAGATGTTCAGATTGTTCCATTGCTTTCCCTACAATCTTGAGCTACATTTTACTTATTCCCCTCTTTCTTCCAGACTTCTGCCCACAGTTTCTGGGATGTAGCC